AAACAAACAAAAAAACCCTGCAACTTTTTGCATATCCAGAATATAAAATTTATGCATGTTTTGCTTAAAGGATTATTAATAAGCAAATTAAATAGTATATTTATATTTATATTTGAAGTGAAGTCTTCACTGGGAGTTCTAGAATCACACTTTCAGAGGTGGCAGGGACCTGAAAAATCATCAAGGTTATGTGAATTTCCCAATAATATAAATTTTTTTTCTTGGAATGAATCAAACCTGGGTCCAAGCTGATCAGGACATTCCTTGCGCTTTCTTGTCTCTGCCCTAGATGGGTCAGAGGTATTTTCTCCCATCCCACTCATCGTGAACACATATCAGCAACTACAATGAAAGAAGAACAGCATGTAATGATAATGTATCAGAACAACAGCATGTTCTTGATTTGTATATCAGAGATCGATTATAAATCATTAAGTTGACTAATAAGCCCATACACCTCAAACTGACAATTTGGGCTCACATCAAAAGAATAAACTATTAGGCAGTGAAAAAGTTAAGAAATAACTAAAAAAAATTGCTTTTGTTGGTGTAAAACCTCTCAAAGCAAGCTGCATTCCAGCAACATAAGGAACTACATCCTCCTCGTTAAGTGTCACTAGAATTGTCCTAGTTTCGGGAGTAATTTTGACACTAATGTGGAAACTCACAGGGTGTTGTAAACAGGCTCCTCCCAATCTCTGTTCTGGTTCAGCCAATATGTAGGCTGACCTCTGCAGAAGTTCCCCATGACAGACACAGTGTATATAGGGAGTGTTGAATAACTAAGTTCAATTATTCCAAAAGCTTTTAGTCAGACAGATATTAAACCCTTTTCCTTTGTTGCCTCTCCCAGACAAAATCTATAAAAGAAGTTTTCTCCTGTCCCAGTAGTTAGGATTTTTCTCTGACCTCTCCCACTCCCCATTTTGTAGTACCCTCTATGGCAGTGTGCCATATTCCCTCCATCCCTTGCATTCAAAGGCAGTTTCCCATGTCACACACTGCCACATAACACTTTCAACTTTCTGTGGGGACTTTATTCCTTCTCTGAATTGGCTTTAGGACTCTTCACCAAGGCTCAATCAATCTACCACTCTCTAACTCCAGAGATGGACTTCTTTCTTTTTCCTTGGGAAAATGAACTGTGTCCTGATTTGAGGTAATTTCAAACCAGAAAAATGAGATACAAGACAACAGGTAGAGCCAGTGTGTTGACATTCATTTTAATTATCAATATCTAAACATCTGCGCTGCTAGGTGGCACAGTGGTCAGAGTATTGGACTTGGAGTCAGAAGACTCATCTTCCTGAGTTCAAATCTGGTTTCTGACACTTACTAGCTATGTAACCCTAGGCAAGTCACTTAATCCCTTCTGCCTCAGTTTCCTATCTGCAAAAATGAGCTGGAGAAGGAAATGGGAAACCACTCCAGCATCTCTGTCAAGAAAACCCTAAATGGGATCACGAAGTGCTGGACACAATTGAAAAACAACTGAACAACAACAAAAGTCTAAAGATCTATTCAGCACTCACTTTCAAAACACACAAGAAAAAAAGAGAATATCATTGCAGACAGACTAAGAGAATCTTAAAATTTAAAAAAAAAACAGCATAGTACATAAGAGTAGGAATTATGAGACGGGTATTAATTCTGGCTAGTTGACACCAACTATCTGCATGATATGAGCTGAATGATTTAAATTTCTAAGTCATATTACCCATATCTACAAAATGCAGATAAACTCTCCTGACAACCTCACAGATACACTATACAAATATTAGCTTATTTTGTCACAATTTTTTAATCTAAAGACAAATCTAATTACATTTTTATTAAAAGATGAGAATGATAGTATACATCCTAAATATAGTTATATTCTTTATACAAAGTATCCATAACTTATATTGCTCCTCCCCAAAACATCCCCCCACACAAAATAAATTGGCAGGGTACAAAAAGGGCATGTCAAAAAGTATCAGGAGTATAATGTATAACTCACCAATTCAGTAATTACTGAACAAAATACCTAAAAACACTAACATTTACAATGCCACTACTGACTACTGAAATACTTTTGACCTGACCCTCAAGGAATTTACCTTTTACAGGTGCTGTGACACTACTGTGACATTAATCTGTATATTTACGAGACACATAGAGTATAAAAGGGAAGACACTAGTATTTCAGGGAACCAGGAAAGGTCTCCTGTAGAAGGCATTTGAGCTAAGTTTTGAAGACAACCATGGATTTCAGGTGCCAGAGGTGAAGAGAAAGAATATTCAGACATGTGGACAGTAGGTGCAGAGGCTGAAGCATCATCTTAGCAACTGGCTCAATATGACTATGTTTTAGAAAGCATGACAGGAATAATGTGTAACAAGACTGGAAAGCAAGGAAAGGGCTAAGAGATGGACTTTAAATGCCAAAAAGAAGAGTTTTATATTAGATCCTAGAAGCAACAGGAAGCTAGTAGAGGTTACTGGCTGTGAGGAGGATGATATAATCTGACTTACACTGTAGGAAAATCATTTTAGCAGCTGTGGGAGGATCAATTAGAAAGCTACTACAACAGTCTGAGAAAGATGTGATGAAGGGTGATGATTGTGTGTGCTGAGAAGAAATATATGCTAGAGATATTGTGAAGTTTGAAATGGTAAGATTTGGGTAAATGATGAGAGATGGTGTGACTGAGCGTTATGACAACAAGGCTGGGAGTCAGGGTAACTGGAGAAGAGGGGAAGATACCTTTGACAGTAAGTGGGAAGTTTGTGTGCTGGACATGCCAAGTTTAAAATGACTCCAGGATATCTAGTTTAAAAGGTAGCTAATGATGCACAATGAGAAGTAAGGAGAAAGACTATGGGATAAAGATCTGGAGGTCTTCTTCAGGGTGATGATAACTCAACACATGGAAGATGAAGAGACAAGCAATATATGAAAAGACAAGGACAGCAGAAAACAAATAGACTTGGTTTCCTTAGGCTTTTGGAACTGAAGATGCTGAAAATCTAGAAGAGATGAGACACAGGTGATATAGGGAGAACTGTAAAACTGTTCAGGCTAATGCTATCAGTAATAGCCAATGCTGCTACAGCTTTTGTGTAAGTATGATTTGAGGATCGCATTGGATTTGCTAATCTGTTACTATGTCACCATGGTCTAGAGCAGAGATGGGGACCCTGCGGCCCCGAGGCTTCATGTGACCTTCTAGGTCCTCAAGTGTGGCCCTCTGACTGAATCCAAACTTCACAGAACAAACCCCGAAGTTTGGATTCAGCCAAAGAGCTGCACCTGAGGACCTAGAGGGTCACATGTGGCCTTGAGGCTGCAGGGTCCCCACCTCTAAATGTAACACATGGGGAAGTCAGGAGACCTGGATTCAAATGCTCACTCTGCCTTTTATTACAGGTATAACCTTGAACAGGCCCATTAATTTTTCTATGACTAAGTTTCCTTGTCTGTAAAAGGGGTGCAATAATACCTATTCTGCCTGCTTCACAGGGATAAATGTTAAAGTGTAAAGTTCTTTGTTAATCTAAGAATTGCCAGCTGTTATTTATGAACCAAAATACTGAGTTAAGAAATGGAAAAGATTGTTAATGGTATGATCAGACAATGCAGTGTAGTGGATAACAGGGGCAGTCCTGGTGTCCAAAAGAATTAGGAGGGGTGTGTGGAGTGCTTGTTTCCAGTCCTGCTTCTGGCTTCCTATGAATTCTGGAACCGAATATGAACTCATGGTTAAGAAGTTCCTACAATCTACGAACTCCAGGATTAAATATAAAGTCTTCAGTTCTTAAAAGTCCTTCACAATTTGGTTCTAAGCAAATCTTCCAGACTTACACGTGACTTCATTTTACCCTCTCTAGGCTCCAGACAAAATTGTCCTCCCGCTGCTCCTCACACATGATACTCCATTTCCCATCTCAGTCCCTTTGCACAGGTTATCCCCCCATGCCTCATTTCCACTGCTTCTTAGATTCCTCCATCCCCTCTCCCCCAGTCTTAGCTCTAGGACAGGGGTGGGGAACCTTTGGCCTCTAAGCTGAAGGTCTACTCCTGCTCTAGGGCCACCTCCTATACAAAGTCCTTCCTGATCCAATAGCTGTTATGGCCTTTCATGCAAGAGCCTTTTATTTTTTGCATCATGTTTCTTTACATTATACATTTTATGTATTCTTAAATGCATAATACACTGTTTCTCTCAGTAAAGTGAAATGAGGTCAGAGTTGTTTCATTTCTAACTTTTTGCCCGATACCCAGTACATGGCTTGGCACACTGGAGGTACCGTAGAACCTTGATGACTGACTGATACAACGTCTTGAACATGGCAAAGGGTGAAGGTGGCATGCAAGAAAAAGGAAAAGGTATGAACAAAAAAAATGGACAGTTTGAAGTAAGCCATTTCCCTAAATGCCATGCTGTATATTATGGCAGCCCAATTTTGGAGACCAATCTAAGACTTCAGAAAACTGGGAGACTGCTTTACTTATTTAATTCCACAAACTTACTCTTAAGTCTACTATGTGGCTAAGGTACTATCCTGATCCAAGCTGTTCAGTTCTACCCTGATTGCAGAGGATCCAACATGGAGTCGATACCTTTAGAATATGATATAATCCCCTCTTTCACACTCCAGTAAGTCCAAATTTAAGATAAGGAACCATCCCTACAGAAAACTTCTCAAGTTCTATCTTATGATGGAGTCAGATGCTTTCTCCATAATCTAAGAAGAGTGATTAGGTTTTTGTCATTGTTACTTTTTAAAAATATACCATCATGATAATTATATCTTTCTGTATCTGGTATCACTGACATATTTCCTCAAAAGGAATAAATGGGGATAAATGGCATAACATAGGAAGCAGCATCTTTAGATCTAAGTATAGTAATCTAACTGAACAGATTGTTTGTATTTAATTTGCACCTACTCAAGACCGATAAATGCCAAGCTGTTTTTTTTCATCATAATGTAATGGTACCTAAAAACACACATTTCCTAGAAATTTTACTGCTATTTTTTCTTCCTGTTTACTACACACATCCCCATAATCACTCCATGTTGACAGAACTTTTGTAAATACATTTTTTCTAGTATATTTTAAATAATCAGAGATGTAATAAATATATTTTTAAATAAGGCAGTGTGAAGTTATTTGCAAACTTGATGTTTTTTAGTTAGGTGGCATTTAAAGCTGATTGACTGTCAGGCAACTGTACATTTGTGTCCCAAACACACTGAGATGCTTCCCAAACAGTTAAGAGATGCACTAAGTCTTCCAACATAAGACTAAAAGGAGCTAACCCTGTCCCCAGCCCACAACACTCACCCTTAAGCAG